CAAGCAGCCGGTGTGAGCTGCTGTGAGCCGCCGTGAGAGGCTGTCCAGAGGCCGGTGACCGATCTGCCTCACCCAGGAAGAGCGCAATGATAATACCAACATGAGCCAGTGAAGCAACGTCCACTACAACTAGACTGAAGAACAAAAGGACAGCAACTTGTCTGTTCCTCTTCCCCAATTCTCCAATAAAATCTTTAAAAAAATAAATAAATAAAATAATGGACAACTGAACTTGGCTATACCTAGAAAAGCAAATGTTCTGGTTGTTAATGAGTTACTTTTTATACACACATATGACTTTCCAATTTACAAAGAATTATAATAGAATAAAATACACTCAATTGCATTGAATATCTACTTGATTTATTAGGAAATCAAGCTGAGACTTTAAGTGAAGGATTTAGACCACCTCATTTAGCTAATTGTTAGAATCAGGATTCAAATGGGTATTTACCTTTAAAATGTATACTTTTAGTCACTATAGTTACCTTTATGTACTTCTAATATAAACATTGATAAATGTTAACAATTTTGGTGGTTTGAACATTGGATAACAGAATTTTCTTTAATAGAACATCAGTTCCCTTTGCTAACAATTCTTTTCATTTGGCCAGTATGAGAAAGTTAAATCTGAATTGGCTTTATATTTCGAGAAAGGAAACTATTCTTAGTGATTATTTTGATTCAACTTGAAATATTTTGTTTTAAACATAGCCAATGAAGTAGTAAACTTGAATAAATAAATGTACTTTTCTTAAATGGGAATAGTTAGGAATGTATTTAAAATTTATTTTTTCTTTTGTTAAGGCAGAAGAAATTAGAAGTGGCCATGGAAGAAGAAGGATTAGCAGACGAAGAGGTAATGTTAGCTGTAATTACTGTGACTATAGTTAACAGTACTGTATTATGTACTTGAAAGTTGACTTTAAATGTAAAGTGGATCTTAAATGTTCTCACTACAAAAAAAATAGTAGTTATATGAGCTGATGAATATATTAATGAATCTTAAAAAAACAAACAAAAACCAAAAACAATATATTAATGAATCTTATTGTGGTAATCACTCCACAATATATGGAGTGTATCAAATCTTCACATTGTAATACCGTAAACTTATACAATGCCATATGTCAATGAGATCTGAATAAAGCTGTGGGGGAAGGAACAGCAATTACTGTACATTGTTACATTACTTTAAGAAAAAAGTCTATTCCATGGTATTCATCATTTTGTATACACCTCTTAACTCTAATGTCAATTGTACCTACTTTTTAAAGATTTAAATCACTTGTTACCTCTTCCATGAAACCTTTTCTGGTCCCCTGAATTGGGGGTGGGTGGGGGGATCTCTATTTTTTAAGTTTGCCACATTCTATCAAGTATACATTTTTTTACACACACTCTTAAGTAATCCCTCCTCCTAATCTGGAAACTCCTTGAGGGAAAGATCCATTGTTTATTTATTCACCAAGTATTTATTCTAGCCGTCGGCCAGCTTGGGAGCTATAATGCTACAGAAGAAACTATGGAGTGTCCACTCTGGGAAGAAGGTATTTTAAGGCTACCCCAGGGACAGGAATGGTGTTATGGTGGCATGTAGGTGATTTATATGTTCCATACACTTGTGATACTCCTTTTTTGCCATTAAATAGCTATCCCCAACTATATAAACATTGTTCACTTGCTGCATTATGCAGCCTGTCAGATATTAATGAACATGATTTTCTTTAGCTGCCTCTTTCTCTTATCTGTCAATTTTGAGCATAATTTATGAAACTGTATAATAAGGTCATCTTTTCCATTCAGATTGGACAAATTACTGAAATTATATCCAACTATAGACCCTGTTTTATAATGCAGAATGTCTTTCAAAATTTTTGTATTGATTTACGTAATTTTAAAAAGGTCTTTACTAGGGCCGGCCGAATGGCTCAGTTGGTTAAGAGCTCGCTCAAGAGTTTGAGCTCTGAGCAACAGCGGTTCGAGGCCAGCCCGAGCTGAGCAGCCGCTAAGCTGCCAATAGGTAGCAGGATGGCTCAGCTAAAAAAAAAAAAAAATAAAAAAATAAAAAATAAAAAGGTCTTTACTGCTTTGAAAGACAGTACTGTAGTGCCACCATGCGGCCTTTTTAAGTATAGTCTTAAAATTGAAAACTACTTTTTTTTATCTTTTTGTTTTACTAATATTTCAGTTTTTTAAACTGTTATTCAAAAGACATTTTTGAACAAAAATATAATCTTCACTGTTCGTCCCCCGTTGATGTGCCTGAGTGTGTAACTTCATTTAGCTGTTTAAATTGGAGACGTGACTTCTTAATGTGATCTTCTTAGATTAACTTCGTTAGAAGTAAAAGAATTCCATTGCACTGATGATACATATTTCTAATAGTTCACCCTACCCTTTTGAAAACATACACAGTACGGGTAGCAAGGGACTTTTTGGCGGTTATACTTGAGCTGCACGTAGGAGGAATGCTTCTGAGCTGCTACAGCCCTTTTGTCTTGTTTTCTCCTCAGACCTGAGCTGCTGAAAGCTTGATAGAGTTCAGTTGCAGATGAATAGGGGTTTAATTTTTCCCCTGATTCTGTTTATTTCCCATTCTGTGTTACCTCTACTAGGAGCTCTGTCAGAGAACAGAATTTTGTTTGGTGAGAGAACACACAGCATATAGAACAATGAAACAAACGCCCTTGCCAAGTGTACCTTCAGGTGCTTCATAATCTTTCTTAGTAATGCTCGTTATTTTTGTGATTATTGGAGAATGAATTATGAAATTCCTGACATGACTATTTTAATGAATTCTTCATATAATAATTTTTTTGATACAGTTTCATGTTTTCAGGAAGTTGTATGTCAAGTCTCAAGCAGTTTATTAAAATTTGCCCAAGAATAAATTCTAACATAAGTAAATCTCTGTAGAAACACCGCAGTTGTGTTATTTTGGTGTCATAAGTTTCAGTCGTTTTTAGGGAATTGAAGCAAAGTAGATTTCTTGAAGGTAAAATTCAATATCAGAATGCTATTAGCATTTCTTAAAGTTTAATTTTTATTTTTGAATTAAGTTAGCATATAGATGAAAGAATATGATGAACTAGTTAAGATGAAATATTTAATGGAATGCACTTGAAGAATAAAGACTTATCAGTTGTTAAAAAGTTTTAAAGTTTCTTTTTGATTGTTTTATTCTTTCCATGCTTAATAAATACTTGTCTTTGGTAAATAAGTTATAGCACTAGTATATAATATTTAAGATACTTCAGCCCCATTTATATGTGTCTCATCTTTTAATACTGTAGATTTCCTTTGAGACACTCTGATTTTAAATCTGATGCCTTTTTAAACTTTTTTTTTAAATAGAAAAAGTTACGCCGATCACAACATGCTCGCAAGGAAACAGAGTTCTTACGGCTCAAGAGGACCAGACTTGGCTTGGATGACTTTGAGTCTCTGAAAGTTATAGGAAGAGGAGCGTTTGGAGAGGTGTGGTTCTTTTTAAAAGTCACTGCTATGGAAAAATATATCTTAAGATAGTTTAAAATATATATTAAACTAGCTTAATATATATTAAACTAGTTTAATATATATTAATACTAGTTTAAGTTTAATCGAATTCTTAAAGTACCATCAGTGGAAAGTTGCAATGCTACTTTCTTTAAAGGAACCTACCTTTCACTCCTAAATAAATAGTAATGACTGCTTAACATTTATAATGTGATCAATTTTTACATTTTAGGTGCGACTGGTCCAGAAGAAAGATACAGGCCATATCTATGCAATGAAGATATTGAGAAAAGCTGATATGCTTGAAAAAGAGCAGGTATGTTCTTTAACACACCATAACCAAAGGAACATCTGCTGACTAGGTGTTGAGTAAGTGTTGATACTGGAATTTTTAAAAAGAAATCTCTGACTGGGTGGCAAACACACAATTATAGATGATGTATTACAAAACTGTACACACGAAACCTATGTAATTTTAACAACCATTGTCACCCCAATAAATTTTAATTAAAAGAGATCTATACATCTTACTATATAATCTATTAATTTTTTGATAGCCTGTTTCATTGTTTCTCAATTCTTATTAAAATTTCTTCTAAATTTATAATCTAAATATGTATTAGTCTGTTTAGTGCTGCCATAACAAAATACCACAGGCTGGGAGCCTTAAACAACAGAAATTAATTTTCTCACAGTTCTGGAGGGTGGAAGTCTAAAATGAAGGTTCTGGCAGGATTTGGTTTCTGGTGACGGCTTTTCCTGGCTTGCAGATAACTGCTGTCTCATTAAGTCCGAGAGAGAGACAGAGAGAACGAGAGCTTTCTCTCTGGTGTCTCTTCTTAGGAGGATACTAATCCCCCACCCCCATGACCTCACTTAACCTTAATTACCTCTTTAGAGGACCCATCTCCAAATCTAGTCACTAGGGGTTAGGGTATCACCACACAAACATTTAGTCCGTAACAAAATACCTTCTTTTCTGACTTCAGTGAAAATAAAGGGCAGTTCTCAGTACCCTGAATCACTATCACGTATCAAAAAGGCAAATCCTCCTGAGAATTTGTTGATTAATATATTTCCAAAATCTGTAACCACTCCAGTTTCATACTTCTGGGCTCTCTCCATGTTTCCAGTGACCTAAGGCAGTTTATAGGATGGCCATAAACCTGAAAACATCAGTAGTAGTATTTTATGTATTTACCTGTGTTTCCAGTTTGGGTAGATGCTCCGTAGAAATCTAAATTGAATACGTATTCATTTTAGGGAAAGACTCAACAGTGGGGTTATAGAGGGAGATGGGACCTCTCTCTACCTAATGCTTTATTTCAGTCTTTCAGTCCCCACCTGAAGCTTCCTTTGTTATTACAGTACTGTAACATAAATTTATTTAGATCTGGCCAACTTGAATTTTCACTGCATTCTTTCACTTTATTTCTATTTCATTCATTCAACAAACTTATATGTTCTAGGTTCTGGGAATACAGTGGTTAACAGAACAAACCTGATGCTTGTTCTTTTATAGCCGTGGGGAAAATGGGCAGACAGCTGTTTCAAGCAGTCATGATCAAAAAGTTCTGTGAAGAAAATTTTTACCGAAGGAGAAAGCGATACAGATGCTGTGGGTTTAGGAGGAAGAATTAGATCAGGGGAGGTTTCCCTAAGGAGGGAAAATTTGATGAGAGGCTGAATAATGAGCAAGAATGACATAGAGATCTGGCAGCACAAATACCCAGGCAAGAAATGCAGAGGCCCTGTGGCAAGAATAACCTTGGCCCACTCCAAGAAGAGAAAGAAGCCACTGTGGCTGGAAATAAGTGGGAAAGAGTGGTTAGGGGTGAAGTGGGACAGGTCTGCAGGGACCAGATCATGTAGGGCTTTGAAGGCCAAGATGCAGAGTTCAGGTTTTATTCTAAATGCAGTGGGAAGACACCGTTTTGTTTAATTAGGGGCTGGCGTGTGTCATTGATGTTCTACAAAGATGAAGCAATCCCTTTGCTTATTTACAGGAGAAGCAAAAGTTGGCGAAGGGAGACCAGTTGAGAAATTATGTGGCAACTGCAGCCAGTTTGTGATTATGGCTTATACTAGGGTTACAAGAGTAAAGCTGAAGAAGGCAGATAGACTAAGTGTATGTTTTCATGGAAGAGCCAGCAGGATTTTCTGCGATACACTTGCAGGGTGAGAGGAAGGGCGAGGGTAATAAGGAAAAAAAGGGGGAATAATTAAGAAAACCTAGAGTGTGACTTAGGAATGAGGTGCATTACGGTGTCATTTTCTGATTTAGAAAAGACTGAGGAAGGAAGAGTTTTGGAGACAGTGGGAATTCAAGTTCTCTCTGTGACATATTAAGTTTGAGCTGCCAATTAGATATCCAGGTAGACATATTAAGTTGACAGTTGGCTGGACGCTTGGGAGAAGTTTGACTAGAAATATAATTTGGAATTCATCAATATTGATAATATTTAAAGCAATAGGACAAGGTGAAGTTGCCTAGGGAACAAATATAGACAGAGAAGAAAAGGGGGCTTGGATCCAAGCCCTAGAGAACACTAGGCAGAGGAGAAAACAGCACAGGCGACCAAGAGAGAGGGGGAACCCCGGAGAACACCGTGTCATGGAAGCCAGGAGGAGAACGCGTTTAGAGGAGGTGGGTGGTGAACCATGTCGTGTGCTGCTGAGAGCGAGCAGGAGGAAGAGAGGCCGCTGGATGCCACCATGTGGGGATTTTGAATAACTTGGCAAGGAAAGTTCCGATGTACTGGAGGGCAGAAGCCTAACTGAATTGCTGGAAAAGAAAATGGGAAGTGAGTATAGAGAAATCTTTCATGTGAAGCAGAACCAAGGATAGATTGGTAAAGTGAGATTTAGGGTCAAAAGGAAGTTGGGGGTTTTGTTTGTTTATTTGTTTTGGCAAGAAATGTTTCAGTGATGATTGGAAGAACTCATTAGGAAGAGAAAAACCGATGATGCAGGAGAAAGAGGGCAGATGCGCACAGGAGGACTCTGGAAGGCAGAGTCGGTCTTTGACAGGAGTAGGAGCCTATTCATGACAGCAGGAAGAAAAAGCAGAGGAAATTGGAACAAATGCTGTATGGTTGATCTGACGGTGTAAAATGCTCAGTTCCTGCCAGACTGCAAATAAGTGAGGTCATCGAGTCAGAGTAAAGCTTACTGGAGGTGTAAGCAGAAAGAAGTGTGAAATAGTTAGAAGTATTGACTTGATGGGTAGGGAAGCAGACTTGTTCGGGAAATACAGTTGAATGCCCATTGAGATTTGCAATCATGAATGTAAAGTGAAACCAGTTGGTATAAATAGGTGTTTTTTCTCTTGTAATACTTAGTTGCTCTGGGGCAGAAGAGACATAATAGACAGAAATTTGGGGTTAACTAGGGTTGATGTTTTGCCAGGCAAATACAGTGGAGACAAAGGAGTTCAAGGTGTTTGCAAAAGAGTGATCATAATGATGGAATCTAGGCTGGGCAGTGAAAGAAATGAAGTTATGATGAGAGTGATAGAAAAAAGGTGGTAGGGTGCATGGAATGCAGATTGAAGTGTTAAGAATAAGAGACCTAGAAGGTTAGAGACCTGGAACTCAGACACAGGGTTCTTTAAAATTGAGATTTTAGAGGAGCTACAATTGGTGATGCGAAGGACAAGAAGGTGATGCGGCATAGTGGAGGAAAAGGTCATTGGAGGCGAGGAGGAAGTCAAGGAACTGTGTAGATGGTATTTGATGGCTCATCCTTGTGGATGTTGAAATCCATCCACTGAGTGGAAAGGATGGAAAGCAGTTGGTAAAGCCATGAGCTGAAGTCAGGAGGAAGTGAGGGGGCTGACCAGGAGTTTATAAAGGAGAGCTGTGAGGACAGTGGCTGCTGTGGGCTCACAGAGGAGCTGGGGAGAAGAAAAATGTCACAGGGAGCGAAGGAAGAAGTAGAAGACCTACCCCCATCTGCCACCCCCCCACCCCCAAGCAATGTGTGAGAGAAGAATGGGCCATCCTTGAGAACTCGCTCTGTGGAAGACAGAACTCTTAGCAGACAGCCTAGTTTCAGTTACGATAAGAGGTGACAGGGGACTTTGTTGAAGACAGACTGATTGCAGAGGGAAGAGGTTTGGAAGACAAGGAAGGCTGCGATATTGAGTTGTATTAGAGAATTATAGATAATGATGGGAATAAGGGTTTGGGGTCAAGATGTAGAGCTTTAGAGGCAAGGCGACATAAATAGGAATCTAACTCCACCATAATAGAATTAGTCCTGGTTAGAGTTTTAGAGGAAGGACGAAAGGCAGCAGTTAGTTCCAGATATAGACTTTAGTTACTATTACTAGCCACATGTGGCTACTGGGTATTTAAATGTAGCTATTCAGAATTGAGATATGCTATAAATGGAAAGTACACACCAACTTTTGAAGACTTGGAACCAAAAAAAAAAGGTGTAAAATATCTCAATAATTTTTATATTAATTACATACTGAAATGATACCATTTTAGATATATGGGGCTACATAAACTATAATTGTTAAAGATAATTTCATCTGTTTCCTTTTACTTTTTATGTGGCTACTAGAAAATTTTAAATTACATTTGTTGTTTGCATTATATTTTTATTAGACAGCCCTGGTTTAGAATATTTTGCCAGAAGTTGAAGCGCTAAGGACCCTGACTTCTATAGGGCACTGCTTAGTAGTTTTAAGTTTTAAAAGTCAGACTAGGGCCCTAAATTTATATGACAAAACCAGGATCCTTGGCTAGGTTGAGAATCATGTTAGAAAATGTTTATACTAGTCATTTTTCTACCTCAAAGGGCTTGGCTTCCCCTAAAATGCCTCTGGAGCCCACCTTTTCAGGCCTTAAGATATAAGCTAAAAGGAACTATTTCTAGAGCTTCCCCATATTTAATGAGAATATAAGCATGCATTTATGTTTCAAATCTTTTCTAAAACTCCAGCTTTCCTTTGTGACTTTTAAGAAGCTGGATGGATAATTTTACGAGGTAAGCCTGAAAAATGTATAATGCGTTACAATTATTTTTTCAAAATACATCCATCTAGGTGGCTCATATCCGAGCAGAAAGAGATATTTTGGTAGAAGCAGATGGTGCCTGGGTGGTGAAGATGTTTTACAGTTTTCAAGATAAGAGGAATCTTTATCTAATCATGGAATTTCTCCCTGGAGGTAAAAACAAACATAACACCAATGACAGGCTGACACAAGCAAATTGTTATATGTAATTGTAATTTTACTGAGTAGGTTTACTTTGTATTCCTTTGAGATTTGAGATTTGACACAGTCATGGTTTTCCAATAGTTCCTCCCATTGTAATGTTAATTTTGACCACAAATCAAATTATTTCCAAGGAATGACAAAGTTGGCACATTTTAGATACTACCATTCTGGGTTTACTGGATATAAGTCTAGTGTTAAGAACAATAAGTCACTCAAGAAAAAGACAACCCAATGGGACACGATAGTCAATGTACTGAAGAGATCTCTGGCTAGTCTATGAATATATAGGAAAATGTTCAACCTCACCCATATTCAGGGAAATGCAAATTAAAACAAGAATGAGATATCATAGGGTCGGCTGAGTGGGTCAGTTGGTTAAGAGCTCGCTCAAGAGTTTGAGCTCTGAGCAACAGCAGTTCGAGTCCAGCCCAAGCTGAGCAGCCGCTGAGCTGCCAACAGGTA